AGAAGGGGAGGAGGAAACTTGGCTGTACTTCACTACTACCACGAAAGGGAAATCTAGGGAGAGAGGGATTCCTCTGTCCCCGCGTGTCTTCTCCCTTGCCTTTTCCCAGTTTGGCTGGCTTAGTATAAGGGGAGGGAGAGTGCCATGATATATCCTCGAGTCTCTTGTTTCGTTCCGTTTGACATATCTTTGTGTCTCTTGTTTCATTCCGCTCTATGTCTATCTCCATATCCCACAGTGGTAGTTGGAGATTATAAAATTTGGAATGCGATCTGTGTTTTGGACGAGTGGCAGTGGAGAACAGGTACTTCTGGTTCACACAAACACGCACCCCCCCCTCTCCCCTCCCCCCTCCTTCCCCTCTATCCACCCACACGATCTCTCTCCTCCTGTCCCCGTGTTTCCATTTTTTTGTCTGTTTAATCAGTACGATGGAGTCGAAAGGGGGAGATGGGGATGCTCTCTCTCTCTCTCTCTCTCTGTCTCTCTCTCTCTCTCTCTCTCTCTCTCTCTCTCTCTCTCTCTCTCTCTCTCTCTCTCTCTCAGCCTCTCTCTCACTCTTTCGCCTGTGTGTTTTAACTCGTTTATATGAGAGAAGTATGCGGGAGAATGGCGTTTTTCTTTGTTTAATCAGTATGATGGAGTGGGAAGGGAGAGATGGGGATGATCTCTCTCTCTCTCTCTCAGAGAGAGAGAGAGAGAGAAGGATGCGGGAGGCTTCGTCTCCTCCTCATTTTGAGTTTCCCCCTTAGCTTCTCTCCACTTGTGCAGCTGCGTCAGGAACGTTGCCTATAAAGGAAATAGACCTAAGGCAGAGGAGGGCTTTCTTGAAATTTGTTACTTCAAAAGTATGGGTGATGATCCCCCTTCACTCCATGTGATAGAGAATTACGCATAGCAATCCCTAGTTCAGAGGAAAAGTAACCCGTTTTTTTTCTTTCTTATCCTTTTTTTTTTTTCAGGAGAGGAGGGTTGGTTGCGTAAGGTATCAGGATGGTGTAGGTGTCTGGACGTCCCAAATGCATGGAAAAGCACTTGAGAAGTTGTGCCTTCGCTCGTGCGGCCGGTGAATTGCCGAATGGCGAAAGAGGGACGGTAATTCTTGTTGACGGCACAAGCCTGCTGGCTCAGTGCAGAGCTTGTTATCAGGGGGGGGGATGCTGTTGCATACCGGCTTGTTTTCTTACTGCCATTTTTTGAGGAAGTGAGGTCCGGTTTCCACAGTTTTAGGGTTTTATTTGATTCTTTCTGTATGTCTGTGTTTTTTTTTTTTTTTTTTTTTTTTTTTTTCGGAATGGGTCACCCCGCATCTGCTGTTTCGTGTTAGTGGCGAAGATCCTGCTCACCATATGACTCTTGGGAATGATTACGTTTCGTTCTTAGTTCCCTTTTCGCTTTTCTTCCCCCCTTAACMCCCCCCCCCTTTCCGCTCTCCCATTTCTCTCCCCTCCCCCCTCCTCCCCCCAACCCCTTTCCCTTTTCTCTCCCCCCTTCCCCCCTTTGTCAATCCTTCATTGATTTGCACTGCTGTCCCGTAAAAGGGTAAATTCTCCCCTTTGTGCTCACGACATCTATGCTGGTTAGTATTAGGGGGGGGGGGGGAAATCAATATAACAGGCGAGGCTTTGCGCGTCCCTGCCATCCGAAAAAAAAGAAAAAACGAGCAATGGTCGCTGATGTCCAGCGGTGAAACCGTGGAACGGAATCGATGGATGGTACACGCTTGGAACGGACGGGATGAAATCGGTGGAACAGAATGGGTGGATGGCACACAAACTGGTGGAACGGAATGGAACAGAATGGAACGGAATGGAACGGATGGTACACACTTGGAATGGAACGGAACGGAACGGAATGGAATGGAATGAAATCGGTGGAACAGAATGGGCCCGTGGAATGAAATCGATGGATGGTACACGCTTGGAACGGATCGGAATGAAATCGGTGGAACGGAATGGGTGGATGGCACACGAACTGGTGGAACGGAATGGAACAGAATGGAACGGAATGGAACGGAATGGAACGGATGGTACACACTTGGAACGGAACAGAATGGAATGGAATGAAATCGGTGGAACGGAATGGATGGATGGTACACGGTTGGAATGGGATGGAATGGATTTGGTGGAACAGAATGGGTGGATGGCACGCGAACTGGTGGAACAGAACGGAACGGAACGGAACGGAATGATGTTGGTGGAACAGAATGGATGGATGGATGATACACACTTGGAACAGAATGGAGGGGCGGTAGGAACCTGGAACGGATGGTGCACACTGGGAACTGAGGGACGATTACCCAGCACTGCCGTGATCACCGAAAATACAACGAACGATTGTTATTGCTGTATCTAGACTGAAAGTTGCCCCAAACACAGCTATATAATCAATGTATGTTGTATTTGGATGACTGCAATTGTAGGACGCTCCTCATCGTATCTGACTGCAATTACAGGCACTACGTAGGACCCTCCTCATTGTATCTGACTGCAATTTCAGTACCATTCCTCCCGTTGCGACACCCCTCATTGTGAGCAGGCTCGAGTCCCCATCACTACATTATAACAATTGCTAAATTCTCAGCCTGAGACCAGCAGACCGTGCCGGCCGTGCGAAGGTCCCGATTGCCTGCTGACCGCTTCCCGAATCAACTCTCAATCTGGACCGTTGCCGTGGGGGGAGGGGGAACCGTGTGTGTGTGGGGGGGGAGGAGACGAGGGGGACTCCAATGTCCAAGGGGAGAGATTGCACCTCTTCCTTTTCTTTTTTTTAGTGTGGTCCGATGGACCACAGATCAGATATTAAACTGATCAGAACAGATACTACACTTGATCTTAGCCAAAAGGCCGAGAAAGGTATGCACCTCTTCCTTTTCATTTTTCTTGTGAAACACTTTTTTTTTTTTTTTTGCCTATTGTTCACGGAAGTTAAGCAGGGAATTGCGAAAAAGGAGGGTCTGTAATTGTACAGAGTTGCGTTGCGTAGTTTATTTTGAAAACAGGTAATATGTCTATTGTCAACTGCCGCTGTGTCGGTGATCTGCACATTGTCCCGTAATCGTCATCTGCACATTGTCCCGTAATCGTCATTGGTTATCTGAAAGGTCATGAGGGAGTGGAATTGTGCTATATTTGGGTTGTATGCGTGCCATAGAAAAGCAATAATATTATAATACTGAAAAAAACATGGACTTTTGGGATTGGTATCTGTGTTATGATCCTGGCCAATTTCGAGATACACATCCATCAGAAACTACAATGCCTTCCAATTGCAGAAAGAAATGAATGAACTTGAGAGGAGGGAGAGGATTAGAAGAAGAAGAAGAAGTAAGAAAGAAGAAGAAGATGATGATGTACACCAGCATAGACAAATGTTAAGGCTCTTCTTCTTCGCCCAACAATCTCCTCCTCCTTATCTCCCCCTTCTCTTATTCATACAAGAAATAATAATACAATGTTGAATGGCTGATCCAGAATCAATGTCCGAGTTCCTCTTCTACTGCAGGTATCACTTGAGGTCCACCATAGCCATGGCCGCCTCCCCCCCTCTTCACTCTCATAGGCCGAGGCATGGCGGACTACTAGGCCTTGCCCAGATGCCCAAAGGACGACCCAAAGCAGCTATGGCTGCTCTAGCTCAGGCCACCATGCCTGACCTTTCCTCGAAGCTTCTTGGTGTGGCTCTCCCCAGTTGGGGACTCCCTGCTGCAGCACCCACCAAGGTGATGAAGATGGCTGCCACGAAAAAGAGGCCGGGCTCTTCGCCCGACTGGGAGATATAGCAGCCTGCTTGCCTCTTCGGGCGGTGACTTCCAGGCCGCTCGGCCTTCCAAGCAACCGATACCTCCTCCCTTTCAGAGGGAAACATCATTGCAGACTCTGATATTGCCCGTACAAGCCCTAGACCCAGACTGGTTGGACTGATATCCGCCTAGACCTAACCTACAACTACTGGGCCTCCAAAAATGCCACTTTTGTCTTCTTCTGCTCGGCCTCCAGTACCCGCACATTAACCCCTTCAGGGTGCGGTACCGGCCTACCCGCTACTTGAGTGTTTTTCCTGCTGCAATCCTTCAATGTCACGGCCACAGGTAAGTGCCGGCCCTGAGGGCCCAATTAACGAGCAAGTGCCCTTGCGGGCCACACACACGCTCAAGCCAACCAGCACTCAGACAGGCGCGGCCACACGCACATGCAAGCCAACCAGCACTCAGACAGGCACGGCCACACACACACTCAAGCCAACCAGCACTCAGACATGCAGTCCAGCAAGCATGCACACACAGACTTGGTAGCAAACGGGAAACTCAGCAGGGCATTCAGTCTATGGGCAAAACTCGGAAATCAGCTGTGTGTTTCAGTCCATGTTTGGACGGGTCATCACATCTGGGCGATAATCACAACCGGATGCATGCAGGAAAAAAAAAGAAAGTTTTGTCTGCATGTCCTAATCTGGGTCATGATTACATCCAGAGAAATGGGGGAGAGTTGCAGTGTGAGTATGTCTCTTAGGTGATTCTCCTCTCTGCAACGTCAACACCTATTCCATGGTAGTCTATTTATAGATCCTGTCATTCCTCTGGTTAGACTGATCGATGGGATCGCCATTGGGTCTGTGATTGATGCAAGAGCGGAGTGCATAGATGATAGCCGCGTGTTGCCTAGGTTGTTGTATATGGAATCTGTATTGAATGATGATCTGTACATGGAATCTGTATTGGATGATGCCATGATCTGTACCTGTAATGGGTCATTGGGTGATCTGTAGCTGATGATGATCTATGCATGTGATTGGACATTGGTGATTGGGTGGTTGGCCCACACCTAATTGGTTGCCATGTGTTCAGCCATCCCTTACATTGAGAGGTAGTAGGGGAAGGGGTTGGTGTTAAATCGCCATCCCTTACGTCATTCTGCAACCTTTGAGATAGTTGATGTCGCAAGACACAGGCTGCGGGTTCGAGTCCTGGCTGGCTCGAACGAGTGCCTGCGATCGGAATCCGCCATATTGGACTCGGGCACATTTGCATCCCCGGCCGGGTACCCCACGGGGGGACGGTCACAAGGCTGTGTAGATGGTGTGTGGGGGGTCTTGCCCGTTGAGCCTCCTGCTGSCTGTGCTTACAACATACACAGTTGAGGGGGGGGAGAGGGTCGCTGAGGGACTGGGTACCATTGGTAGTCTCCCGCTTGCTACTAAGTCTGTGTGTGCTTTCAACCTCCTGATGAGTCGGTGAAAGTCCGACGAAACAGTCTGGCACAGTCATGCTTTTTTTGAGTGTACAGCGAATATG